GCAAACGCTCATGTGGTGCTGCTTATTATTTTACACAAGATGGTTCAAACTTTTGAAACTGGAAATAAAACCCTAGAGTACCGTCATTAAATTAAATAACCATTGAGCGCTACTTTCATGTTGTGCAGTTTATTATGCTGTACAAAGTGATTCTAAATTTTTAAATCTGTGTATGAGACTTTAGTGTGTGACAGTTCAAACGAAAGCGATTGAGAAGTGCTTTAATGTAGTACTCTTTATTATGCTCTTTCGACGAACCTTATTATGTAACCATTCAAAGCAAATTAGTGGCAATACTTTCATTCGGTGTTCTTTGTTTCTCAAATGTAAAAAAAAAAAAAAAAATGAAAATATGAAACGTTTTGAATTTGATAACTTAGAGTGCAGTTACGAACAAACCAAGCAACTCAGTTCCCTGTGGTTTTAGTACAGTTACTAACTGACCGTTTCTGCTGGTTGTACTATGACTGGATTCATGGGTATTTCCTCGTCAGGAATGTTGTTTCCACTCATTGTTCTGTTCTTTTTCCATCGTCTGTACACAAAAACTGCCGCAATCCCCATTATGACCAGCAAGAGCACAAAAATAATGACTAACGCCAAAATGAGTCCATGTCCCTGTGGAACTGATGGGAACAAAAAGTCACGTTGACGTAGAATAAAAGCCATGAAATTCCAATTACAATACCTCTCGCGAAGACAATGCACCCCCAAAATGTGAGATGCAGGAAACTTCGGAAAGTAACGATCCCCCGAAAGTAACGTCAGAAAATCGTGGCCGCTGGTAAATCCCGAAAGTAGCGACTCTCCGAATGAAGCCAGCCCACTCCAATCCCCAACCCCGAAAATAGCGAGACCACGGTTGAAAAGGATATTTATTTGTCTAATCAGTAGTCAAGTCAAAGTTACGTATGGTACTATTGTTGATAATTATAATTACGGCACTCTACAACAAGGGAAGGTATCGCTTATGCCACCCAGCGTTGTGAAATGTCACTTCGTGCTTCATCCGTTCATATTGCACTATCTTAAAGCAAAAACCGTAAAGCTTTCATCAAGCAACAGGAACGTACCTGCAGAAAGTTTCATCAAATTAAAATTGAAACCTCTGTGCCATTTTCAACAGTAGCTTATTTACAGGCGAACGTTTCTCAGTTAAAATTAAAATTGAAAACTTGACCAGCGCACTGAGATATTGATACAGCAGACTAACATAGAAGTGCGTCCTGAAGTACAGAAACTTATTTTTTTTCTCAAGCATCTGAGCGGACCGGATCCCTAAATCCTCGAAATTGATTGGCTAATCATACGCACGTGACCGGTCCAGCTTGATAGCTTTCCTGCCGACCAAAACCACGATCTAGACATAAAGAGTCCGTCATGTCACTTTCATGTGGCAGCAACATAAATTTAAACTGGAACGAAGAATTTCATCTCAGTTTCAGTAACGACCCCCCGAAAGTAGCGACTCCCGAAAGTAATGAGACCCAAAGGCTGCGAATTCCGAAGGTGACGAGTCGTTACTTTCGTGCGTTTATGTTACTGAGAAACTGTTTGATGGGCCTTACGCAAACCCCCCGGAGGTACTCCCTTATATGGGCTATATAGGTATGTGCGGCCCCAAAGGGTATGGTTTTTCAGCTGTTTTGCTCATAAATAGGCATGGTTTTTGCACGCTAGCCTTGATATGGGTATGTTTTTAAAAAGAAGCCACGTTTTCATCATTATCGAAAAGAAAATCAACAAAAGCTCTTCACAAATTA